GTGAGTGTAATAAATGGAACACTTTAACACACGCTCCGATCCGACCTCAAGAACATTAAACATGTTAAACGAACTGGCCGAAAACTAGGCACACGTGTAAATCAAAATGGGTTTACGACCACGACGACTGGGTATTATCTTAGATTTCATATTTTTAATGATGATTTCGAGGACACATCCGCACACACTGATAAGCATCTGACCACTGAGACTTTTTTTTAAAAGAAATTACCTTGCAAGGACATTTTAATGAAGTGGTTTCCTTGAAATTTACTTAAAAACCTGGCGCGACATGCTCTGTCCACCTTCGTTTCTTGCAAATAAACTAGCGCCGCCAAGTGACTTCGTTTGTCCAAGTTGGCTGGGGCCACCTAGCTAGCTGCACGCGCACGCGCGCCGCGCTCTTCAGCCGTGTCCAAAACAGGGTTCTAGAAGAGCTCCGGCTATAGATCTATTGTCTGCACGTTTCCACGGATTTCCATTAGCTCTGGACAAACACGTAACTGGCAGATGCAACTCTAGTAGGACTTTGTCAAAATTGTCGTGATTGCCAAACGCCCCACGCGTGGAATCTGGTAAATCCATTCACCCTTTTGGCCGAAGGGGCATATTACGCATGCGTACCATTTGTCAATACGAGCCGACGCTACAGTGATGGATTAATAACTCTGGTTGTGGAACTGCACGAAGCTTACATTTGCCACTAGGGGAACATTTCAGCCTAATTTTTGGTTGAGGAGTCGATTAATTAAGTTGCAACTAAATTATTTTGTAATCGATTCTCTGGTGTAGTATGAAAAGTGCCTCCTCACTCCTCCTTTGAAAAAGAATTGCTTGGCCCCAACACTGAAACGGTGCATAATGTAGATGTTTGCCACGATCGATCACCTCATTCAATGGTTTGGAGGAACTTCCAAACCTGAAAATGGTCCGAGAAAGTAGAGGGATGCCATTAAAAGAAATGGCTGCTTGCAGACTGGAGATTCTGCAGCACTTTTCCTGGGTTAGTTTTATTTTGTGTAAATGCATCGGCTAATGTTGAAGAGAAATGGAAAGATTTGAAGGGCAAGATAATTTATGTCTTGTTTGCGAAATCCCAGTGCTGTCGAATAAAAGCCCAGTTGATTTGACATTTTCAACGGGGCTTGAATATAAGTGCATTGAACCTTGCAACCATACGTACCCCTGTCACTTAAAGGACTCTCTAAATCCATTGTGAACACGTTTACAGCGCCCATTGAGAATCCACAAAGCCTTACTCGGAAATGCACAGTCGTCTCACAACTTAATACCTGCGAAACCACGACAAAACAAACAAGAACCAGCCATTAAACCTTGACAATTTTTTAGTAACAACTTCCGCAATTTGCTTTTAGACTGGCTTCCTGTATGAAGCAACAAGTTGAGATACAATCACTGCGTGACGATACGTATCGTTCGAACTCTGGAGAGTTTTACCTGCTCTTATTACACCCGAAGAGCTGAAAATTCGAAATTCAAATTGCTGTTACTTGGCTAGTCTTGTGCTAATCCGTTCCCTTTCGCACTTCGTGACGACAAGCAGTATGTGATGAATATTATATACTCTAACATCTCTCTCCAAAAAAAAAAAGAAATATGAATATAAGGCCTGGAAAATGTAGACTGAAAATAACACTGAGTTGGATCGAAGCACAGGTAACTAAAACAGAACCCGAAGTAGAACTTGAGCGAAATTTCGGCCGATTGGAGTGAGCACATTGCACTCAATTTCGATTTCCCTTGTTCGATAACACTCTTAAGCCAGTCTACCCTGATTATGAAATGCGGAATTTGGAATTTTTTTTGTCAGTGGAGCCTTTGTCGTACTTCAATCGTGAATTTTCGACCTCAATGGCGCTGCGTTGAAGGGGTTTTCCAACAGTTTCCATGTCCATAAAAGGGGAAAAAAGCCCAGACTGCAGCTGAGTTCACATCGAATCAGGTTCAGACAATCATATTCCTCATTATGAGGTTCATGAAGCGGTCAGACTGTGCACCAAGAACGACGTGTTTATTCGCGGAGGTTCGTTTTATTTTCAACCATAATACAGATACAGTAAGCAAGCCTCCTGAGTTAAATTCATCCCAAAGGCGTAACAACATTAAGTAATAATGGAGCCTTTTACGAGTTAACATTGAGTAAAATCTGGTATACACTGCGCTATTTTATTGCGTATAAACATCATCTGAATTCTGCAGACTCCAGACACTGACTGGATGCCATACTTCGCGATTCGGAGCAAGCTTTTATCTCTGGAATGAACTGGTTCCTTTGTGCCCTTCTTATCCATTGAAAATAGTGTATTAGCGAAAGGCGTCTCTAAAATGAGCAAAAGCTTGCTCCGAATCACGAGGTATGTATATAGCAAATGTTTTTAGTATTCAAATTGTTAAGTTCACCTGAATTGAACGAACTCAGTGTACCATATTTTATTCAAATTTAACTCACTGAGGGCATATTGCACAAAAGGCATGCCTTTTGCAGGTTATTCTTAACAATGCTCCGCCATTGGCACAATGTGTAATCGTTCTGCCAGTACAAAAATAGCCGCTTCCAAATCACTTGGCTGCGGCTTGGATTGCATACAACTTTATGGAAACTGGCTGCGGCCACCACCATGCTATATACTCGTGCGTCATTTCTACCCGCAGCCAAGTGACAAATTCGGACACGAACCAAGCTCCCAACTGCATGATGTAGTTTGAAGTCACGATTGAATCGTTAGCACCATAACGTGGTTCTTTGCAGTGGAAACTGGCTGAACGCAGAAAAAAAACAGTTTTGTTGATATTTCGTTTTCATTGAAATTTGTAGCGTAAACAACAAGCTCACTGCCTTACACCTGGCTTTTAGAGGAACAAATTCCCACGTGCTCTTACGTGCAGTGCCTTTTGTCATGCACTCGCCGTATCAACACAGAACATTGCAAAGGGAACTCGATCTCCATAACAATGATATTTTTCTGCAGCACTTCCTAATATGTCCATGACTCAGCAACGTGGGAAAACACCTGTCGGTGTCGCTAGGCATGCATGAGGACGGTGACCATAAAAGGCGCACTTCTGACAAGCCGTGTACGGGGGCCCGGTAATCCAGGGCAGGCCCCCAAAATTCAGTGTTTTCTGAGTTGAAGACCCTGGAGAGGTTTCCAGGAAGCAGGAGGATTGAAGGAAGATGCCAGGCATTTGTCTGCAGAGGCCGGCGAGGTAGCAGGTGTGTCGAGGTCCAGATGTGCCGGAGAGAGTTTGTGGAAAACATGCCTTTTGGAGCTCCCCGCACCTTAGGACAGTCGGTAAGCTCTTTAAACCGCCCAGATTCTATGTAGGATGCTTGTATAAGAAACTGTGGATAGCCTACAATCCCGATGAAAGTAGAGCTCTCAATTTCTTTACAGGATAAATAAGAAATTATCTCATTCATAAGGTTTATGAATTAACCAAAATAAGCAAGGCATTGCTTGTGTAATGCTTGCTTACCAGCTGGTTACTCGTTGAAAACCGTATCCATCGTGCTTATAATTCCATCACCAATCGGTTGTTAAATTCCGTGTAGTTTTGACGCCTTGTGCAAGTTCTCATAAATGACGATTTTCACCGACAAGGCACTGTTCAATTTAACAAAACTATTAAGTTTACTATTGATTATTGCAATGTTTGCTTCAATAGCAAACATTGCTAAGTACATTTGCTAAGTAGATTAGTTTTGAATACGGTTTCTTTCAGCGATGTGATGCTCTCTTACCATTTCAATCTGTCGTGGACGGAATAGATTGGCTAAAGTTTAAATATGCAAGTCTGGTACCAACCATGAGTTCGTCCGTAGCCTCGTATATTCATGAGTAGACGTCACCCCGTGGCTTCAAGTCACACAGTTCTATAGATGAATTAATCATCAACTCAATTTTAACTATACTTCCATATAAGACTTAAAGGTTTTCATGATGAAAGAAACTAAATCTATAGTGGTTCTGAGAAGAACCGGGTTCTTCTCAGAACCACACATACTCAAAGAAGAGATTGGTGTTACCGCAACTATAGATATACTTCCATAGTCAGAGATCTGCGGTGGAACGCACCGGGGAATCGAGATGATCCATCCAGGCCGTGATTCGGAAATGACTCATGATCATTAATGGACTCGAACAGTGTGTCTTTGCCTATTGGAATGTTTTTGTCACCAATTTGACGAGAAAGCTATTTATAACTAGGCCTAACTATGCTCATTCATTAGCAAGTTTCCCAGCCTGCAGGTGTGGGTGCTTATGAAATTTATCCATTCTTGTATCAGGGAATTTCTGCCTCTGCTGATATGCAGTCACATTTCTGTGCAGGCAGGGGATCAAGAGATCAGTATATACAGTGCCGTGAAGTACCTCCTTGCATAGAACCGCTTAAGCTTAAAGTCTTATCGACCTCTGCCCGGTGTGTCTATACTGTATTAAATGACATGTTGATCTTAGATTATGTTGACTTACAGAATGCGGAAGTACTCCGATTTTATTCTAGACAACACGCGTCTCTTACCTGTATGCCTGCACGACATGACTACGTATAATTATACTCTTTTGAAGTCATATGATTAACCCTGCTTGGGGCACTGCTCGGTTGCGGTTAGGCCTATGGCCGGCATTTTGGGTTTTAATCCAGTTTTCAATTTCAGCTTTAAAGCCTCGGGTTATCGCACTTCAAATAATATTGATACGTGTATTTATGTCCGGTCATGCTTTCCACGTGCTATCGAGCAAAGCGGATTAGAAAAATGCTTTGTTTTAGGAAGTGGCTTTACATAATTTTGTTTAAGTGGTTTGTCTTTTTGCATGCATCTTAGAACCACACCTGAGCTTACATTGCCGTAGTTGAGGGAGGCATTGCCAATAGTCTGGTTAAGGTCCACTGATCAACAGGATTGACTCGCAAAATTGCCGAACATGAGGTACTCTAAACTTCTTTTTTTGTCAGTATAACGGTGTCGATTCTTTGCACCTTCTGTATTTTGTGTTGGCAATCCTATGCTCTTCGTATTGTTACCTACTCGTGTTCCCAAATAGTCAGCGACTAACTATGAAAAATAATACCAGTTACCAAGCTGCATTTAATTTAGGTACCTGTAACTGGAAGCTGGAAGATCTTAGAATGTATAATTTTGGGTCTTTAAAAACTTCGTTTGCAAACGAAAAAACATGACAACTGTTGGCGGGTCTCTGTTTTGGAGCAGGTGCTATAATAACCTATTTCTGGTAAAAACAGACAAGTGGTTGAAAACCAAACAAATTCAACATCAAAGTTTATTCCCTTTTTTCAAGTTTTACACATTATCATCTAGTATTGCACCCATCTGATTAGTAAAGCCTTCCATCGAGTTTTCTGTCTGTCTTCGCAGTAGAGTCTGCAGCCCTGCCGATTTCTGTGACAGTCAGCCATTGGTGGAACCGGCTGATGACGTCAAGAAGGTGATCGACTTGACGGTTCCTCGGCCGGACATCATGCAGGTGGAAGCCGATACTTTGCGAGTAGCCAGTCGTGGTAAGCAGAAAGATATCGATCCCCGTTGCTCCTAGGTTCCTGGTATGCCACGGTTGCTACGGTTTCTTCTCGGACCAACGACGCCTGAGCAGTCACGGTGGCGTAAGCGGCCTCTGGGTTACATTTTGCAGGGGGCCCGTGGCCTCTCTTTTCTGGAGGGGGGACTAGTGTGGTTAAAACGTAGTCAAAATGCTGCATGGCCATGGCAGTTTTTCCCTCCTCTGTTTTTAAGGGTGTAGGCACACGGGAGACACAGGCTGCGGGGGGGGGGACTAGTCACTCCACTGTGCCTTCCCACTGGAAATTAGTGCTCTAAAGTCACATGAGTGAGCATGCTTGCCTTACTATACCCAGTCCGGAGTCTTTCACGTTCATCTTGTCAATGTGCAAGTACATCAGAGATCCATGCATGGTGGAAGTATTGTGCTGGAATGCAGTTTAATGTAGGCCTAACTGGCCGAGCTGCTTGTCCTGAGCAGAATAGTTGGCACAGTTATCAAGTGAGTAAGCCCGGAACATGGTAAGCCAACGGTAGACTATTATGTGTGTTATCTGCCCTGGGAAGCACCCCCTCATTTGTTGAAAAGGGCAGTGTTGGTCGGGAGTGTTCATTTTGTTGATAGCGATGCCACTACGTCACCCTTGAGTTTCCTAGTTGTTTGTGATCGAACCAGCGATGCGCAGTTGTTACAAAAGGAGCCTCCGTTGCTAGGAAATTGTGCCCTCCATTGGTCCACGTCGGAGCCCATTGAAGGTTTTTTCACATTTTCTCGCAGATCCACGCTTGTGGACGAGAGCGGACGTAGTGAGCTGGCTAGAGTGGGCAAGGGGCTTCTACCAGTTGGACAGCGTGGACACGACCAAGTTCGCCATGAACGGCAGAGGACTCTGCCTGCTGACCCGGAGCGGCTTCATGAACAGGGCGCCCTCGTGCGGCGACGTCCTGCACAGCGACTTCCAGAGGCGGTACGCGGTTGCCGTCTTGAGAGCGGAGGAGGTGAAGAAAACGAAACGGAGGGCGCTGTGGCGACCCGACGCGACCCATGGCAAGGACGATTCCAAAAAGCCGAAAGTAGAAGAAAACCAATGACCGAGTTGAACTTGTGTACAGTCTAGAAAGAGACATTGGTACATACCTCTCTTTGTTAATACATGCACACATGTATACGTGGAGACCCATTTACATTGACAGTCACTTCGCCCTGTAAAGCACTTTCAGCCGTTGTTGGGTCAGATTTGTGTAAAGAAATGGTAGGTTACACTTTGTTTATTCTAGGAAGCGGAATCTCTTGATTGATTTTGCCGGCGTTTTGTGCTTGTTTATGAGCAACGACATCAAAATAAACAGACGGTATGTTGGGTTTTATTGTCACTTTGATTTGTGAGACAAATTAAAATTATTTTGCCAAATTTGCTAACCTTCAAAGTTGACAAAAAGTGCGACTGTAAAAAATTAATTCAAAGTCTTCAAAGTCTGAGGCCGAGTCAGTCCGAATAACCGAGTATTCAGATATTTATCTTCCGCTCAACAGAATGAATAAGATTTCGGTTATGATTATAAAGCAAAGCAATGAAAAACTCTCTCATGAAATGAAATATTCTCAGGCTTAATTAGGCAGGCTCAATTGGCTGTCACAAAATCTGTTGTCTGGAGTTTAATATTCACCCCATTGCAGAGGCGCGTGGCAGCTGTCTGTGAGCTGGCTTCAGACAAGACCTTTGTATCATTAGTTGAAGTTAAGTATTTTTATTTGATCTTGTATTAGACTTACTGTTACGGTAACAACTTCAAAGTTAGGGGATAAAAATTAAAAAAAAAAGTTGAAGTCTGGGATGGAGACGAAGTCAAATATTAGACAATGGCTGGGAGCCCACATTGCCACAAAGAACAACCATTGTCCCAAGTTTCAGGCGAGAAAAACACAGCAGAACACTCAAGTTCCCCGCCCGGTACAGCCAGCGCAAAGAACTCGTGCCGAATCGTTTTGTCCACTCTGCACTTAAAAAAGACGGGCCTCTCCGTGGCAACCTCTTTCGTGGCGTGCACCATAGCGATTCGCGCGCTGCGTTTAAAGCTTCGGTCAACTTTCGTCCTTGCTCGTGAATTGCCGGGCAATTAAAAACGAATAAAGCCAGTGGATCCAATTTCACGGCGTCAGCCGACCATGGGTAATTGGCAATTATAAGCAGATACATGCGAGTGGCTTTGTGTGCAATAATTGGAAGTTGTTTCATCCATTGTAACGGCGAGAGGGAAACAGCTTTGGATGAATGAATAGCGCTGTGCCGAATTAACCGAATATTCGATCGATTATCGAATATTTGACTATTATTTTCTGAATTTGAATATTCGAATGCAAAATTTATGAAAATGACTACGGAGGTTTGTTTCTAGCAGACGGAAATGAAAAGGAACAGAAATCGTACGATTCAAAAAATAAATTATTCATCAAACAATTTAAAAGTAATGGAAAATAAATTCACAACATGGCAACAGGTAGGCTATTGTTTATCTCCATCTTGCTAAATCGTGGCTGGAGATACTCCTAGATATGAAAATCTGTTATATTGATTATAATGCACAGCTATGTGCGTTATTACAACTGATTTTGTAAATGGTTTGTTTAACAATTTGCCTGTCGGTACGACCGAATATCGGTATTCGATCAAATTGAAGGTCGAATATTCGAATAGTGAATTATTTGAATTGACTCAACCCTACGAATGAATGCAATTAGCACCCAAGGTCAACTACGTCTCCCTTGTGATTTCTTTGTAATGAAGTGATCCATTACTAAATTTGATTGCTGCAAAGATGGTCGTGGATAGACCTGATCAACTGGCGTTATTCAGTTTTATTCACTGAAGCATGACAATTGTTTAATTAGTCACTGATGAAGATAGCAAATCCATGTCGAGTCAAGCCTTTAGTTGATTAAGTATCAGCGTCCGCTGTGCGCTTATAGCAGTCTACTTCAAGTTGGCCCTTCACAAGTGGTGTGAGCTAACAAATGTAAGACTTTCAGATCCATCCATTGAAATAGGTGCACCTTCCGCAGGTAGCAGCGCGGACCGCCCATAAAGTCATGACTGAGAGATTTGAATTGGAAGCATTTTGTGCCGCAATTTCCAACCGACTGCTCTCAGTTTCAGCTTTGAATTAGCGCTGGGCTACCTCGAATTCTGAGCCACCGGCTGCCCACACACCAGCTGCTACTGATGCCCTTAACGTTACTGACTGAACCGTTGTACAACTTCAATGGCTAAGGCCAGGCTTTGGACACTCTGTAAAACAGTTGTAATTGTTTTTGCCTTTGTGGGTGTTGAGAGTCGATGCCCGGCGTCATGGATAGAGCGCCAGACATCGTGCTACAAAACTGACGATGAGCAGCGAACCTGGGAGAACGGGGAGGCGTACTGCAACCAGCTAGGCGCAGAACTCGTGGTGATTGAGACGGCCCAAGAAAATGAATTTATCCGGGAGCTACTGAATGATCAAAGCAAGGATTTTGCTTGGCTGGGTTGCAACGACAGAGCTACAGAGCGCACCTGGGTGTGTTACTCAGAGGCCACCGTAGGAATGCCATTTGAAAACTGGGCGCCTTCCCAACCCAACAATGCAGCCGGTGATGACTGCGTGAGTATAAGTAAGTCTGGAAAGTGGAGTGACTCCAAATGTAGTGCAGATTTCGTTTACGTTATCTGCGAAGCTGACAGCGCCGACTGGGAGGACCTGCATATGGACGTCACTTCTTCTTCGGCGGCGGTTGTTTCAATGTCCTGCTCCGTTGTGGGAGCAGACGGTCGCCTGCACCACTTGACCTCCCTTTAAACATGGTCCAAGACAATGTTAACAGAACTGCTGCGACCGAACTCCGCCTATCAAGACACTGACTAGTCGGTTGGGGATCTCTGCAGCAGGGTTTCGAGAGTCCGAACACTAGAGCGCATCTTTGAAATTTCTGGAAGGGTTCGTCCGACAAAATGAGTTGCCAATTTCTTTCGGCTTACTCTGCCTCAAAATTCGCAGGATGTAACGCCTGCTTCAAATAGATGATCTTTGTCGATGGACTCAAACTGTGTGTATGTGACAGAACAGTTCAGTGATTTGTTTGCAACCTTTCTGAAAGCTAAACCCTTTTCATCCAAACAATAAAATTTCACGCATCTTCGAGAGCTGTCTTGTCGAGGTACGTGTACACGTCATATTAGCTAGATTTGAAGATATCATTATCGTAAATATTAGCAGAGTTCTGCTTACGCCTGAGATGGATTGGAAGCTAATAACTAATTGAAATAAGAGACTGGATTTCAACGGTTGATCCAAAGGGGAGAATGAGTCGGGCTTGATGAGGTTTAATTGCTTCGCCAAGTTAGAATGAGAAGGAATGGTGAGCGCATTCAGTTGACAATTTGTTGAATGACATCTACCTATTATAGAGATCGTACACGACAACCATCATTTGGTAACTGCTTTTGTATCTTGCGTAACGCATGACGGTGCACATGTTCAGGGCGTAAGCCATTCATCGTTCAGTTTTTCAAACCATATGAGATCTATGTAAAATCATATTGAAATTGGAGGATTGAGGACCGTGAAGATTAAGAATTGTTTAAATACTCTTCTTGTTAGCATCTTGTACCACAGATTGACGTCCTGGGGCGTGACGATGGTTTTCGCGTGAAATTTCTTGTGAAATTTAGACAACAGTCTGTGGATCTTGCTTTTTTGTGAAGCAGAATGGATAAAATGTAATTTTTTTTCTCTTATTTTCAGAGGGTCTGGTCGGCGATGAATGAGCTTGAAGGCTAACCCTAGTTTCCATTGCATGTACATGTACAAACCATTGCACATATAGGCAATACGCTCGGGCAAAAAGTGCAGCGTCGTTTTGTGCAGAACATTCAGGATGAAAGAAAAAAGTACAGGCAATAGTTCACAACATTGTAAGAAAAGTCAAGGAGCGATGGCCTTCTTTTTGAAGCTCTTTTTCAGGTATCTGTTGTGACGTACAGGGCCTGTTTGTTAATTCACGCGGATCCGAACCGCGATCGGCCAACCAACGTTGGTTCACTGACATTAGAACCCGTCTAATGCATGAAGCGAACCAGCGTTGGGCTGACTGAACCAGCGTTGGTGCGGTAGTTTGTAGCATGCAATGAACATAATTGCCCTACAATGTCAAACACCCACAAACCTTCGGCAATCTCATGCACGATGAACCCTTTTGGCATCCTCATTGCATAACTGGATTTGGTAACCAACAAACTTTTTGTGCATAAAGGGAGGGGGTGGAAGCGAACCGGTCAAACATCATCAAACTAACTTTTTCTTCATTATGTACATCTATATCACTTTACTATTCTTACTTGGATCTTGTATACCAACTAATACACTAAGACTAAATATCTTGCGGCCACTGTCGGTCGCCTTGGTGATCTCCATCTTGGTCTTGAGGGACAGTCCCTTACGTTTCAAGTTGACAGAAGTCATGCTGTCTCAGTGGCAGTGTGATTAATGAGTGACCGAATATCAAATTTTACACCCTTATTGTACATTACTTGCCGGACCCAGTAACAATGGACACAAGTCTAAATGGACTAGACCGGATGCATCCTTCATAACAGCAGAAGCTGACAACATGTGCAAATAAGAAAGCCCTAGTTTTGGGCGCTACCTGATTGGCCCGCGCCTCGTGAAGTGCACGCGTCACTGGCACACGCTGGAGACGCCATCGGCACACTCTGATGACGCGTCCTTTTGTTGTGGTGGGCAACGCACAATTCAACCAATTAGCGCCTTCCATTGGAAAAATGTCTGGGTTGGCAAGATAAAAGAGATCACAACATGACGAACACGTAGGCTTACGAAGTGACGAAGGGCGCTTCTTAATTAGGTTTATTCAAGGCTTACACTGCGAATCCTTTCTTTGAGCATGTATTCAGGGCGATTTCGGGCGATGCAAGTTTGTTCGAAAGCAAAAGTGCCGTGCAGAGACCAAAGACCTGGTTTGCCATAGTCACATTTCGGGCAATTGGATACTAGAGCAAGTCCAATGTACTTTCTTCCTATTTGGTGGAGCTCAAGACTCCGTTTATTTCAACACATTGCTTACACAAGATTAACATTTTTAGATTTCTGCATATAATAATACGTATGCATTTATTCTTTGGTTGACTGTTCTATAATAAACTTTTTTTGTCAGCTGTGTTTGTAGTCGTATAATTCAGGCTATTTCAGACACGATTTAACATTCCTGTTGCTGACCTGATGAATTTAATTACTGTCAACCAATTTATTAATGCACGCATATAATCCGTGCAAGGCTTAGATACCGCGTTTCATTTATTTATTCCTACATATACTCATTTCGATCCACGGTTGAAAAATTACGCCGGGAATGAAAATGTGCGAATGAGTTACATGAAGTAGCATAAGACGATTAGCTACCAACGAACTGAAAATGATTCAATGGGTGCAAAGACGCGTTTGGGGGTAATCGGCACCGACTACATGGCCGCTCAGCTGCATAATTAAGTTGAAGCGTCGGTCATCACCCATTATTTCACTTCATCGCGAAGGCGCTGCTGGTTCCATTTGGCACAAACGCGACTTCAGCTTGTTAATCGGAAACCCCTAACAATGCATTTCCCTTTTAAAATGCATGCACAAAATGCGTGCCTTCAACGCGCAGCCTCAGAGTGGGTAAAAAAGAGTAGAAAATGTGCACTTATGAGCAAATGTTTGTTACAACACTAAAATGTTGCCAAGTGAATGCAAGTATTAAACTAAAGTTAGTTTAACATCATTAAGCAAAAACCGTGAAATTTCAGCCGTAAAAAGGAATGTTTCTATAGTTTCTAGTTATTCTTTTGCACTGAGTATAAAAATATATATATATATTCATGTTAAAAGAAAAAGATTTGCATTCGATGCAACACTGAAATAATCTGGTGGAGTCACTTTCCAGTTCTAAAATTTCCATCTCTGAAAAAAATACGCTTTAATTATAACATTTACGTGAAGCACTTCATGTTAGATTCCAATCTAACATAATACCGATTAAAGATTATACATCTGACTAAAGACTTGGAAGGAAATTCAATCGGAACGCATTGAATAATGGCAGGAAAAGGCATTCTTTTAATCAAATTTGAAAGCGATTACTAGTCTATGGAGCCTATAATCCAATTTAGCTGTCACTTTGACCGGTTTAAGTGGCTTTTAATCCAGTTTAGCCACTTCTTCAAAGTAGGCTCCAAGAAGCTTGATCTAGGAAAGAATGAGAGAAAAAAGAAAGGAAAATGTTTAAAAAAACACATAACATTTACTGATTTTGATTTTTTGTGATATACATGAAAATGCATGGAATGGACAACTTCGATTAAAAATGAGATGGGTAAAACCTGCCAAGAGCCGTACTTCACACCCTGTTCATGGTCTTGTGATCCACTCTGAGCAGGAACAAGATGAGATGGAGTGTTTTGTACGTTCCAAGGACGGTCCCTTTTGGCGGGAATCAACCCGGTGAGTGCACACACGGGTTCACGCACGCTTTTGGTGGACGTACTACGCACGCGTGATCAATTTCTGTTTGAAAGAGGGTACGGTCTTTGGGCGTGTGCTACGTGTGTGTACATAAGCTTTGTTGTCAACCACCAACCTCGTACCGTCTCGTTTTTCCTGATGATGAAGTTTCACTTTTGGTAAAAATAAAACTAAATCTATTGACAGTAACACACGTGGAATCAGGTACACGTTCTGTTCCACCGCTTGCAATGCCCATCGCAGCAAAATGGCAATGCCCTACCCCGTTGATGTAGTTGGAGAGGTTCATCTTCTCGTTCTGGGAGTGCGCGCCGTCGTCGCAGGCGCCCATAGGGAGCAGCATCACGTTCTTATTGGTCGCATTCTGCAGGGCCAGGATGACGGGTATGGTGCAGCCGTCGCGGGTCATGTCCGGCTCTACTCCAAACACTGAAAGCAAGGAAAGTAGCAAGGCTTGAAAGCAGAGGCAGAATAAGGCTACGAGGGGTGCCACAGTCAAATTTATCACAGTTCCATGCAAGTCCATCACAAGTCATCCGGTCTTAAGACGACTCACAGGCTATAGATGGCGTCTGTCTATGTTACAAGAGGAAAAGAATGACTCCTAAGGTGTTAGGACAAGAGATGGGTTGGGGTTTTCTCTCCCTACTCCTGTGAGTCTTACACGGAATATTCCTCTGGGGTCCTCTAAAACTGTAACTGCTTCTCACTGTCTCCTCCCTACAGGTTTCTTCACACTTGTAAACCACTGTGCCCAGGCCGCTTTTAGGAAACCTTGGTCTCATTGCCGAAAACGTTCAATAATAAAGAAGTTGTATTCATCATTATCTGACATGCCAATTAAATTTAGGACTACTAAGGTGACCCCGAGGCAGTATTTAGGAGATAATTACCCCTCTGGATAGCTCTGCGGCCAGCAAGGTAGTGAGGATGGTTGAAGTCGCTCAGCCAACTCACTCCGCTCAAGCTGACGGACACACTGACAAAAACCCACAAACATTTGGGTCTATTATATGGATGTTTCAAATATCTAACATTCGAGTAAAATGCACGCTGTATGCACCACTGTAATTTAAAAATTAATATTTTTCCCGAGTCAAATCCATTCTTAGAAATAGTTGTTCGTGGTACCCGCTGCTACATCTGACTCAAGCCAGCCAGCCAAAACTGGCATGCACGGTGGTCGAGTGGTTAAGACGTCTGCACTAATAAGCAGTAAGTACGGCAGGTTCGAGTCCCACCCGAGCATGTTTGTTTCCTTAGAGGAAGCAAATTCTTGGCGTATACTTTCTGCATTTGATTGCTTCCCAGAACATTTCCTTTTTGCTGCCTGGCAAGACGGATGGTAGTCCGTCCATGACAGGATTCACAAGTCATTTTGGTTGCATGGTGACCGAGGAGTCTTGCCTTCTTGGATTCTTAAAACTCCAACTCCTCCTTCAAATTTCCTGTGAAGCAATTAAAGCCACCACCAGAGAAAAATGACTAGTTTAGTGTATTTTACTCACGACATCTTGTTAGGCGAGCCTCGGGCCTTGTGGATGTCGGTCAGGTACTTGATAACCAGCTGCTCAATCTCGACAGGTGACTGGTGGGGTACCAGACGGATGGAGAATTTTCCGGTCACTTTGCGAGGGATCACCGTCTTGGAACCGGCTCCCTCAAATGCCCCCTGGATTCCTAAAAAATATAGAGGGGGTTTAACAATACACCCAGGAAGCAACAAACAACAAATCAAACAGTTTGACAAACGGACAAACTTTAACACCAAATGGTGAAAAAGCCATGAGTTCCTGCCAATTTGGATCCCTTAATAAAAAAGAGCTTGTTTTCAAAAGTAGCGTTGCTTGCTGTAAAGTTGTTGACTTCTGGTTGGATTGCAAATATTGTTCAGAGACCGGATTTTCCAGCACTAGCTGCAGACAACATCTCCGGAGATGGGTGGAGAGACAGGGCTTAAGACTGGAATCCCTCACAATGTAGAAATCCCTCAACTATTCAAGTCCATTGAAAGTGGCATGCAATGTTTGGCAATGTATTTCGCAATACTAGATGGAAAATAAAGTCACAAGTCTTGACGCAGCGTGTACCTGACGGAAATGCAGGCAAAAATTTCCATCTGACCTAGAAGAGGCCAGAGATAGGTAACACGCCCTATTTACCGTGGATGGAGAGGGACGGGTAGCGCCAACGATGCTGTAGGACTTTCTCTTTGGTGTCGTGAAGCAGCCGTTCGGTTCCAATCTCCTCACGATAGTCCTCCTGCAAAGCGGACACGATCTGATTCACGCTCACTGAGCTTGCTCAGACATACGCATCAAAACTATAAGCTAATAAAAGTAAGTAACCAAATAATCTCGACGTCTTCAGTTTGTCTAAGTTACATAGACATGGGTGTTATTTGTATGAGGTGTGTTCATTGATTGAGTTGCTGTTAAATTGCTGTAAAAAAGAATGGACTGCACGCAAACGGGGGTTCTCAACCTCTGTATGGCTCCTATTTTTTTGGCCAACCACGTTTTCATCATCTTCAAGGTGAACTCGAAGTCTCAGCATATTTGGTAAAACAGATGGGTTATCGTGGGGTGACATTTGTATCAGCCTGTACCATGTCAAAGTCGATCGGTGCGTACAGCTTTGACTCTTCCTCAGTCAACTCGGCAACTTTGTCGTACACACCGGGCACTTTAATGTGACCTTTGACATCCACCAGGCTGTTCAAGAGGACGACCAGATCCGTCATGGCTTCATGCCTATAAAGGGTGTTGAAGACAAGATAATCTATGCTGGCAGAAGACATGTAATTTCTAAGATCCAGATTCCATGCTGTTGGGGGATCCAAAGTATCCTGAAAACAACAGATTCTCAATTTGAATTGATTTCTTGGATTCCATTTGTTGCACGTTTTCCACCAAGGCATCATTCGAAAAAAAAGTCTCCGATATTCGAAATCCAATAATTCATCTAAAAATTTGTCTTAGGAGTGTTCCCGCGATTTCTGGAGCACTTTTGGGAGTGAGTTACGTGAAATCCCCTTCTAAAACCTGGGCCTTGTTTGTTTCATGGATCTGAATCTTAGTCAGAGATCCCAAGGTGGTTTACTTTCATTCATGAGCAGGACGTTTGGGTATCAGTGAACCAATGGTGAATCACGGATCACAATCCTGACCCACGTGAATCAAATATCAGGCCGGTAGTTTTGATGCGTGAACAGAATTGGGAAGAGTCTACCCACAGTCCTCTGATACGACATGCATTATAAAATGCTCCAGGGAGCTGCTATTCCCATCAAAGGGGATCACCGTTACCGCCAAAAATTGCGCCCTCTCTTGGTCCCACGGCGGCCCTCCGGCAGATATTGAGCATATGTGCTTATAAAGACGAGCCTGCCTTTCACTTACACTGAGCCACCATAGACACCGGAGTGCAGGTCCTTCCTTGAGCATTCCACCTCGACAAAAAAGTAAGAAAATCCCCTGGAAAAATTGAGCACATTAGAAAGAAATAAAAAAACTGAAGTCAGGAAACATGATTCTTTTTTTTACGGTACTTCAAGTTGAAGCCCCTGCATGGTTTCCTTTATGATATGACAGGTGTGCCAAAATAGTATTGGTGTGTGATTTTACAAGCCAACTATTTAATTGTGGAGGACATGTAATGGTTTCTATAGATCGTAGCTGAATTTAAGGGAAAACGCTGATAAACAAAAATAAAACGAAACCCAAAACTGACCCAGACCGTTAAAGACCTAGACCAAGACCCAAACCAAGGCCCAAACCACACCTAATCCAACTAACCAACAAACAAGTTCAAGATGGAGCCCTGAACGTGCGTGTGGCCTCTCAGTGAAATGCAATTTACTCTCTAACTTCCCGAGATCATAAACCCAAGTTAACCTAGAGCGATGAATTAAATGGTTTTAAAAATAGCAAAGGGTCCTCATTTATGTGATGATTAAGACATAAAACCAACAAGCATTTCGCCAAATGATGGGTTTTCCTTTGGTATTGTTTAAATCATGCCATTTTGATGAAATGCCGGTACATGTAAGCTGTGTAGCAACGTGATAGTGCCTTACCTCAATCCGTATGTGATACAGGGCTTGTTCCTACCCAACCAATAGTTGTCTGAGATGCACAGGTAATCGACGCCCTAAGACAAGAGGAGAAATAATGCATGACAGCACATTGTCTGGATAGAAACAATGCCATCTTTGATGTGGTCTTAAAATGAGACAGCACCGGATAGCCTATTTACATCAGATGAGACACAAAGGAAGAATTGAAGTAACCGACTTCACAAAACTGACTGTCGTAATTGTTCACGCAGATTTGGAATTTTGAAACTATTGTAGCATATATTTTTACAAACTCTCTTTCAGCAAATAAGGTTCACACTAAAAAAGCTGAATACTCATCTTAATATTGTTTTCTTTCCATTTTTGTCTCATTTCCACCAGAGCTGCAAAATCACTAGCACTTAATACTTAAGATAATGACTTCTACCTTGAAAAATGTCTCCTTGCGAGACTCGATCATTCGCTCCAGACCTACAGAGCCGGATTCCTCCATTCCCTCGAAGCAGAACTGCAAGGCGAATAGAAATAAGGGTAAAGCCAGGCTGGATTCAAAACAAACAAAACAGGTTGACCCAGGCAGGATTCAAACCTCTGACCTGCTGCCAACTGGCTAGATTAACCCTAAAAGAACTGGGGGCATACATGTAAAATCCACACCCCCCCTTCAACATTTTTTCAACTTTCATTGCAGTGACGAGCCTTCAGGAATGTTTTAGTTACAAATTGCAGTCATTTTGACACCAATTTTGTGAAAATTGGACATGGTGTTATCACGTAACATGCACTTTCCTGAGACAGGTCTGCTAAATATTCACACATTTTCCACTGACCTGCTAAATACCGGTGACCAATGCATGTGGTGTCTTGAACCATACATGAGTTGAAACTTCATGCTTGTCTAAACAATGAGTATCTTTGTGTGCATGCCGAGTTTCAAAAAAACAGCCAACTTCTATTGGGGGGGTAAGAAACCCTGGATTTTTTAGGGGTTCGCAGATGATTTACTGAAGATTCAAGCAGGATTCGAAAGTAAGACCTCAAAAATATCGCTTCGGTGTTCTACCATCTGAGCTATAACGTACGCTGTTAGTTTATAGTGTTAAAATAGTTTTGGCTACCTCTCCACAAACCACTGGCCTTGGTCAAGGCCGGAAGATAACAGTCAGGGTTTTCGCATTTCAGTGGTCCAGGGTTTGAATCCCCCAAGTGACTGGACTTACCTTGATGTTGATGGGGATGTCTTGTTTCAGGGCGCGGTATGCCTCAATGACATTCAGCCATGCCAAGACCGGCCCTTTGTCATCTGTGGAGCCACGCCCGTACATCTTACCGTCTTTCTCAGTCAGAACGAAGGGGTCCGTGTCCCAACCATCCTCCTGGAAAATAGACAGAGAAAGATGAAAGGATAACATTCACAGATGCATTTTGTAAGGAATTTTTCCAAGTCCTCTAAAATTCCACTATGCACTAACCTAATGGCACTCTTTGCACTTCAACTTTAAAGGGAGATCAAGTCTCATGTAAAATAACAGTGGCTAGGCTCTACCTTCCTCAATCCAACAAAATCCTTCACTGTGTAGGAAACCAATGGCACATTCTTTATACTTCAACTTTAAAGGGACATCAAGCCCCATGTAAAACAACAGTGGCTAGGCTCTACCTTCCTCAATCCAACAAAATCCTTCACTGTGTAGGAAACCAATGGCACATTCTTTGCACTTCAACTTTCAAGGGACATCAAGCCTCAAGTAAAATAACAGTGGCTGGGCTCTACCTTCCTCAATCCTACAAAATCCTTCACTGTGTAGGAAACCAATGGCACATTCTTTGTACTGGCTCCTATAAATTCGTTTTTCAAAAGTTTGTGTCCCTGTTAATACACCTAACCTAGCTATATTGATGAAACTGATTTCAAAGTAAACTTTGTTTGGGTTTGGGAAAAAGACATTGCAAATCAAACTTTGTCAATGAGGGATTAATTTGGGATGAATTCCTTGGATGTTCTTTAGCTCTGACCCTTTTGGCCGGCTGCACGTCCAGGTGACCGTAGATGCAGACTGTCTTCTTCTTGGGGTCGTCACCAAGGTGACCCAGGAGGATGGGCGGCAACGGGATGACTCGACCGTCCTCCAATTTCTGCGTACCAATGTCTACGAGCTCAATCGTTGCTCCAACCTCGGGCTTTCGCAGGTCCTATAAGAAAATAATTTACGTAATGAACTACGCATGAAATATGAAAGATGTGATGTTAATTCTCGGCAATCTCTTTCAGAAATAACTGAATGCATGTAACTAGTTTTGAAATTCCAGTTCAATCCCACCCGCTCTGAGACTAAAGTGAATTTTAAAACAAGATAGCATCCCTTCCAGATTATTCCTCTGTGTAGACCAATACTGATGTATGATGTGTGTCGGTTCATCATTGTTTCTGCTTGTACGCATAAAAGGCAACATGAAAATTTCTCCCCCCCCTCAGACAAATTCCTGGATCTCCCCCCATTTACCTGAATTCCACATCATAGACACTGGTGTAAATGTAATGTGATGAATTTGGACTCGTTTGTAATTGGCCAATATTGATGACTTCACATTTGGTTTTTTATGTCACCAGTTACAGAGGTCTATTAGGATTATCTAGGGTCAAGCCCGTATCCAATCACAGAGAGCGCCCTCAATGGATCCTGCACGAAGCCAATAGGGGCCACATCTGCTTACATACAAGCTCCTCCCACACATGAGGGAAACACTCCACCAGAGAGAGAAGCCTGATTTTCATAGTAGTGAAAATAAGCACTTGTAAAGCACCCTCTATCTAGCAAACTATTCGGAGGTGCTGTATTATCATTATCCCTGCACAATGGGCTCATATCATCTGAGCATTCCTGAAACCATCTCAGCTCCCTGGGGAGTATACTAGCCCGGTGCTACCATTTTCGGCACAAACGGCTAAACCTAACAGTGTCTGCCTTCACAGGTACCCATTTACTCCTGGGTGGAGAGAGGCACATAGGGGTAAAGTGACTTGCCCAGGATCACAACATGCTGCCACCGGCTGGATTCGAACCCCTGACCCTATGATCATTTCAACACCTTCCCCTGCTTCTTCTCTGTTAAATTCTTTGGCCACACAATTGCCTGTAATCCTAGAATTCACTAGTACTTGTACTTTTATGCACTGAAGTGCCCTACAGGATAGTAGGCCTAGTACAACATGTGCAAGCTACATACAGGTACATACAGCAACTCACTTTAAAGGATTAAAGCGATACATAGCTTTTAAAATCCTATTGACATGAAATGAATGGTGTAAACTGAGCCCTGGACAGGCCAAACCGCCTGTGCTTTTCCCGATTTAGATCCTCCTATCTCAGAAACTCTCTCGTGAGATGTCACAGCATGAACAGAAAGAGTCCATGGTCAGTGTGCTAGTACTAGTCTAGACAGATGTACCTTAGCCACGACTTCCATCATGCGTTTAATCTCTGATCGTTTCTCCGGCCAGGCCGAGACACTCTGTATGGCAACCGCATCGGCGAGCCTCCTGACGTAGTCATCTTGATGCTTGTCAATAAAGCTGAAAACAAGGATTACAAGGAATGCCTTACTTAACTTCCTCGATGTTATCTTCATAAATGATTAAAAATAAACCCACTTTGGAAGGAATTGAAGCATAAAATGTTCCAAAACTTAAACTGAGCAGTGACAATAATAAGGGGTTCACTTAAAAAACACTGAGAATTTTTCAGACAAGTCTTCGAGAGTAAACCAATGTGCATGCATGTGGGGGTGTCACCAAGCGGCATCCGTAGGCCTATGCATGGTACATGGAATTCTTCCCTACTGGCGAACCCTTGTATTTAGGCCAGAAATATGTCCGCTGAGGTCATTAGTAAAAGTTATACACTCAAACTATTCTATATTGGAGGGTCCTGAGAGCTATGGAACTGGGGAATTGAAGAAATATGAGACTGGACCTCTGGGCCAGACTCGGGGCTTCCAATTCTGAGCAATTTGAATGCAATCGGGTTTGAAAGTGGCACTATTTGAGCCATTTTGCAGAGGGATGCATTTTCAAAATAGCTACTTTCCCAGGCAGTGAAATGCCCTTCATTTTAGGGGTGGTCCGCTTTGGGTGAGAATTTCTCAAAAATTCATTGGTCAACCCCCG